CATTGTGTAAGAAGATCTTATAAAAAGAGTTGTTTGAAGGAATTGTAATCTTATATTTTCATTGTGTAAGAAGATCTTATAAAAAGATCGACTTTTTATTTATTTGAGTATATTTTCATTGTGTAAGAAGATCTTATAAAAAGATCGACTTTTTATTTATTTGAGTTTATTGTAACGGTTAAAGTTATAATAGATTCGATAACAATGAAAATAGCAATTTTCAACCCAAACACAAAGCATTCCAGACTTTTTTATAAAATAATGAGTCTAAAATACATTGGAGGGGGTATCTGTAGGCGTCAAAATTTACCTATGAATTCCCGTACGCACTCGAGGTGAAATGCAGACGATAAGCATCATCATCCAAGTCGGGAAATGATTATCTGGCCCTGTGAAAGCTAAACAAATATACAAAGTGAGTCATCGGAGTGTACAAGTCAACGGAATGACGAAATGCACAATACAAGTTCAAAGAAGTCAGAAAGTGTCGAACTTATTAAAGTAGCTTGTAAAAAGAAGAGGCATTTATACCATGATATGATTTGAATCTAAAAACGTTCAAAACATGAAAGTTGTAGATCTCTTCGTCAGCTTTCTAACACATCTTAGATCACCTCATTCTGATATCGGACAAGGGAGTTAGAGCTAGAATACCTAAAACTATTCAGGCCGTTTTACACCAGCGAGACACAATCTGTATCTCAGAGAAAATAGAGATTTTAGCTATGATGTGATCCTAATATGAAGAATCTTAAAACATAAAAGTTGTAGGTCTCTTTGTTAGCTTTCTAACACATCTTAGATAACCTTATTCTAATATCGGACGAGAGAGTTAGAGCCATCATACCCAAGACTATTCGGGCCGTTTTACACCAGCGAGACACAATCTATATCTCGGAGAAAATGGAGATTTTGGCTATGATGTGGTTCTAATATGAAGAATCTTAAAACATAAAAGTTGTAGGTCTCTTTGTTAAATTTCCAAAGCATCTTGAATCACCTCAATCAAAGGTCAGATGAAAGAGTTAAGACTAAAATACCCGAGATAGTCCAAGCTGTCTCAGACATGTGCGAGACAGTCGAAGTGACTCGCGCCCATGTCAGCTCCCGACGTGTTTTATGATAAGATTGGCTTCTAGAACTCCTTGGGGTCATCCATAAATATGTGGGGTTATCTTTAAACATGTGAAAGTTGTTACACAACCGAAAACCTACCTAAACGGATAATAACGGTTGTTCTTTGATCTTATCCACAAACACGACATTCCTATCCACAAACACGGTATCTAAAGACTATAAATACACCCCTAGAACCCTCATAAAATCAGATCTGATGGGAGCCACGAATTTCAGAGGAGCTAGGGCGAGGTTCTGACGAATTTGAGAGAGGCTAGCAGATTTTGGCGAACTCCGGCATAAAGAAGGAGCGTTTCGAAGGATCTGAGGCCCGTTCCCTCTTTCCTCCAGATTTAAGCTTGGTCTTAAATCTTGAGAAGAGTTGTGATCTCGCTTGGTCGGGATCATCGCTGCAGCGATTACTTCCTTTGTGAAGTAAGAGCTTTAATCAATTTTTTGTCAACCGGATCTGATCCGAGGCGGTCCATGGATAAACCCCGGTACAAGCAAAGATCTCACACAAACAGATACTAATAAATAGGATCTGTGTGTTATTTAATAAAGTTGTAATCTTTTATTTTTTATTGTATAAGGAGATCTTATAAAAAGATCAACTTTTCTATTTTGTGAACTTGTAATCGATAAACGATTGTAATAGATTCAAGGCAATAAAGAAATCAACTTTTGACCCAAACAATAATCTCACTTGGTTAAAATTATCACTTTTATTCTTGTTTCCTTTGTGAAACATGAACTTCTAACCTTCCGATCAACCGGATCCGATCCGCGACGGTCCACGGATAAACTCCGGTACAGGTAAAGATCCCACACAAACATAGACTAATAAATAGAATCCGTGTATTCCTTGACAAAGTTATAATCTTTATTTTTCATCGTGTAAGGAGATTTTATAAAAAGATCAACTTTTCTATTTTATTGAACTTATAATCGATAAACGATTGTAACGGGTCCAATGACAATGAAAAAAGCAACTTTTGCACCAAACAACATAATGGTAGAAGACATATCTCACCAATGGTTGTTTTCAATATTGATCTGAGAAAGGCATTTGACACAATAAGCTAGAAATTCATTAGGTCCATGTTGACAAGTTTGGGATTTCCTAATAACATGATTACATGGATAATGGAATATGTCTCTACTCCTAAGTTCTCTTTGTCACTTAATGACTCCTTGCATGGATATTTTGAGAGAGCTAGAGGGTTGAGGCAAGGGGATCCATTATCCCCTTATTTGTGTGTGCTTGGTATGGAATACCTATCCAGGAAGCTAAAAACTCTCAATGCTGATGGAGTGTTCAAATTCCATCCAAAGTGTATTAAAATAGGGATTACTCGCTTGATATTTGCTGATGATTTGCTGCTATTTTGTAGAGCAGACATGGGCTCAAGAATTAAAATGAACAATTGTCTTCAAGAGTTCAGTGGAGTTTCAGGTCTGGAGGTAGGGGTGCCAAACTGTATCCGTATCCGAGGAAATATCCGTAACCGTATCCGTTAGGATATGAATATGGTTACTCAAATCTATTACCGATAGGATATGGTTGCGGATATGGTTTTGTAGTGAAATATCCGTATCCGTAACCGAAAAAATCCGAATACATATTGGTAATACTCTTACGATAGTTTCGATTCTTAGATTATGGATTTGTGGTTAATTTTGATGATCAAGATGTCTAATCTTAGCTTTTCAATCATAATGAACATATTAACGAACTCTTTTTGTATCACATGATTATATTTTTCTGAATACTCTCTAGTTTTCTCATATTCTTTTTGTATCCGCATGCATATTCATTTATATATCCGCATCTATATCCGTAACCGTATCCGATTTTGGCGGATATGGATATAAATTTTTCTTACCGATGTATATCTGTATCCGTATCCGTATCCGAGATGGGTAAGCGGATATGGATATGGTAAGTGCCATATCCGAGCCGTATCCGCTCCGTTAACACCCCTATCTGGAGGCAAACTCAAGTAAATGCTCTATATTCTTGAGTGGGATTGAAGAAAACCTGAAGGCACGGATTTGCACATATTTAAACTTCTCAGAGGGTTCATTACCAATGAGGTATTTGGGAATGCCATTGATCTCTAAGAGACTCTCTTACATAGATTGCTCACCATTGATTTCCAGAATTTATGAGCAGTTTCAAAGTTGGCAATGTAGGAGAAACTTGTCATATGCTGGGAGGATTCAATTAATCAAATCTGTTATTTTGGGGATGTAAATCTACTAGACAAGCAACTATATTTTGCTAATTAAGGTGTTAGTAAAAATTGATAAGTTATGCTCTGCTTTCTTATGGGGTAGCAAAATTCATCTAGTTTCCTGGACTGAGGTTTGCAAGGACAAAAATTTAGGAGGGCTGAGACTCTTCTCTGCTAGGAATTAGAACTATGCAGCTGCTATTAAATTATTGTGGATGATACACACTAAAAAGGATTTATTGTGGATTAAATGGGTGCATGGTAACTACTTACACCATTTGGACATTTGGCAGATTCAACCAAAGGAGAATGACTTATAGATGTGGAGGCAACTTCTCAAGGTGAGGGATATGGCTATGAGAAAATTTGGGAATGTGAATAATCTGCAAAGAGCTATCATTGGCTGCAACAATAATGGTAGAATTCAAGTTTCTTCTATTTACAGAGTATTTTCTCAGTCTACAGCTGTTGTAGCCTGGTCGGATACTGTTTGGGGAGGCTTGCATTACCCTAAACATTCAATGATTTTATGGCTAGCAATTCTCTCCAGGCTCCCGACTCAAGATAGGTTGTGTCGCATGGGAATACTGGACATTAACCAGTGTGTTCTATGTGCAAACGTTAATAGTCAACTGGAAACTTGCAAACACCTATTCTTTGAGTGTCGATATTCATCTTATGTTTGGAATAAAGTGATGGCATGGTTAGATTATTCTTAGAGATCATGTAGCTAGAATCAAGTAATAGATTGGTACAGTAATAACCTGAACGGATTTGGATTCATAAAGAAGATGAAGAGAATGACATTATCGGGGATAGTTTACTGGATATGGAAGGAGAGGAACTTGAGGATCTTTCAACAAAAATTTCATGAACCTGATCAGATATGCAGAGAAGTGAAGATCTCTATCCTCTTAAAAGTTCTTAATGAAGTAATTCCTGGACATATGAGAGAAAAAATTGAGAAACTGTAAGTTTTTAGATATTTTCAGTTTAGTTGTTTGTCTGTCAAGATATCTTCTGGTAATTTTTTGATGTACTTTCAATTTTAAAATTTGTTAAATAAATAAAATTCTTTTTCATTGACCAAAAAAACATAATAAGTTAATAATCACTACAACACCTGAAATCTACCATAGCGGTCGAAAAACGCTATGGTATTATTTCATAGCGTTTTAATCAACGCTGTGTCAGAACCCGCTATAGTAGGTCTGTGGTTTTACATAACGTTTCCCCAAACGCTATCAAAAAGTTTCCAACCATAGCGTTTTTATGTAGCTATAAAAGAGTATTCAATAGCGTTTCTATATTGCTATGACAAATATCTTTCATAGCGGTTGAAAACGCTATTAGTTAGTTTCCAACCATAGCGTTTTTATGTAGCTATAAATGAGTATTCAATAGCGTTTCTATATTGCTATGACAAATATCTTTCATAGCGATTGAAAAACGCTATTAGTTAGTTTTCATTCATAGCATTTCAACGTTGCTATTGTCTTACATTTGATAGCGTTTGAGTTACTACAATGGTGTTTCAGTGAATGTTGTCTTTCTTCTTTTAATAGCATTTCAGTAATTGTTTTCACTTCTTATAGCATTTCAGTTGTGCCTATAAACCTTTGAGGTTGAACTAGAAATAACATCCAATTGTGACAACCATAAAAGCAAATATTTTATTTAAAGATTCAAACTGATACATAACCAAGTTGTAGCATACAAGAAGAGTCAACACAAATGTGCCAAAAAACAAATACTAGTCTTTGGATAGTCCAACATGGAGTACAAGAAATTAACCATAGTACACAGAACAACAGAAACCAAATTTGCTGCATTACATATGACTTGGAAGACTCATCATCTTCAGCAATTGAGTACTTGTACTGCTGCAAAAAACAGAAATTAACAACACCACAATAATGAGATCCTAGAGCCATGAACATTATATGGACACAAAACATAAAACAACAACACCATTAATTAAAAATCACAAGCTTATATTAATTTCTTTAATAATTTTGTTTAAATTTGTTATTAATGAAAATAAGAAGACAATAATTTGTTCTTTATTAATTTCTGCATGAAAAACTGGCTTTAATGATAGCAAAGAGAGTCAATACCTTTATTTGAATGGTTAGGTTGCTCTTTCTGATCCATAGCTTTTCTTTATGGTCAGGGTGAAAGCGATTCACCTTCAGGGTCAGCATGCAGCTGGTACTCTCCAGGTAGCTGGTCTCATTTCCCTATATTGATATATAAGGCTTGAGCATTAATTTCTTGTGTGAATATTGGTGTAAACATAATTGATATAGCTGATTGCTAAATGTATAATACAAGGAGCAAATGTTGCTTACCTTGCTTATCACTATCAAATGTCCATCAGTAGGATGTGATATTTCATTCTGACCACGTATAACAGTCTCATCCTACTCTTATGCTTCAAATTCACTTCAAAAATGGTATATCGTCTAGACCACAGTATCTTTTCCGAATCAAGGAAGTGAGAAACTTAGACCTACTCTAAATATTTACGAGCAAATACAATGGCAATCTATAGTAGAATAACTGCTACACTTAAAAGCGTCCCTTAAAGATGTACAATAAACTCTGGAGGACAGCTACTCAGACCATTATGCTTTATGCATAAGAAATTTGGGTGACTAGTAAACAACTTGCATACTGAATGAATGCATAACATGAGAATGTAGGGATTGATTATAACAAGGGGAAAATGAGGAAATCCAGTATACTGTCATTGGTTGTTTCAATTAACTAACAGGCATACGATGGAGCTCCCACTTGCATAAGGCTACAGCCTATCACCAAAATATTAATAATGATGAAAACAAAAGATAAACGATGAAATTTTGAGATAATCATGTCGACCAGGACCAACAGGTGCATAAAGAATAACTTACTATGAAGTAGGTAATAAAACCAGAAGTACAAAAAAAACTTGATCGGCTTAGTAAAATGGATTGTTGTCTATGATTCCAACACAGAAAATTGGCCTTAACAGTGCTGTTGGTTTTGGGTGTTCACGAGGAAGAGGAGAGGGAAAGGGAAGGAGGGACATGGAACTGACCTCACAAATTACGGCAGGGAGATCCAATAAATACATGATGTGCAGTGAAAGCGCATATGTGCTCGATACTCTCAAACTATAATTGACTTAGTTATGTACTTATATTCAATACCAAAGTGTGTGATATGGTATCAAATTGGAGATCTACATGTTACTAATTTCGAATAAAGAATAGACCTCTAACAGCACAGTAAAAGGTGGCAAATGAATGGTTCACCAACACAAAAAATAAAATCACGTTTTTGAAGTCCTCAAGAACACATGATTATATATGCAGATGTTTTAGGCCATGTAGCTTATTGTCAACAGGACAGGTTGTCCATTTGAACAAAACTCAAAGAAAAAATGCTCTCCTGTTTAATTTCTGAGTATATGAGCCAGACTAACTAAGGCAATACAGATTAAATCTGATTAATAACAACCAGAGGAAAACAACTGTAGAAAACAGCACTAATAACAAAAGATAAAAGTATCAATTATAAACCTTAGTACGATAAATCAAGTTCTGCGTAGAGTATGGTGTGATCTGTATGCAAACCAAGCTATAGTAGGCGCATGAGATCAGCAGCAACATGAATGTGAGCTTAACCAGAGTAATGCAAACCAAGTGTAAGGGTAAAGATAGAAGCTGAGATCAGTAATCACCAAGAAAATAGTATGCAAACACGTGCACTTTCTCAAACCACAACAGCATTAGTAGTCACGCAATTATGTATAACTTACCAATTGGCTATATTACATTCATAATGAAACAGTTGAAGGATGATCACTACTGGCTATTATACATTCATCTATGATTTTATTTTCATTACCCGTTGGATGCTGCTCAAAATATTTTATCAGTTCAAATGTTCAAGGACAGTATGTCATGCAAGCCTAGTCTGTTCAATGATTCTTTAATTTTAAGAGACTTCAAAGAGAATTCACATGAACAGGGGAGAAGCTGATATATATATACCTTGATATTTATCAATATGTACAAAGCAACCATCTAAGTTTAGCAGGCTTAGAGCTATCTTAGACTAAACCTTCACCATTTGATACAACAAAAGGAAGGGGGTAATTTCAAAGCAATAATGACTTATCATGAACATAAGTTAAAGAAGCTGTTAATATACTTAGTGAATGTTCCAACTCTCTTTACGAACTAAAAGATCATATAGCCTTCTATATTTTAAGTATTGATCACATTAATTTGAGTATCTGTAAGCTATCTTCTAGTTAATATGTGGATAATGAAGACAACATTTCTCTATATCCATTTGCAAAGAACAATGAACATACTATGCCAGACTTCAATAACATCTGTAAAGCTAACAAAATGCCCATGATACATATAACACATAAAATATGCCCACATAAAAATCGTTTAAATGGTTTCGTAATTATATCAGGCCATTGCACTTATTAGGTTGTCCATCACATGCTATCCTTTGGCAATCATACATGTACAAAAGAAAGTGTGAATACCCATTTCTACACTTTACCTGTGCAAGTCAAATTGCTCTAACGATTCAAAAAAACTAAGATTGATTATATTGCATAATTGTACTGAATTTTAAGATATTCCCAAACTTACCTTAATGAACTGAATGAATGTAGGCTCGGCCAGGAAAGTGGCCTTTAATCCTCCAGCCAATGTGTATACAATTACACCAAGTGGAATGAGGAAAGCTCGCAGCAAAAATATTCACACCAGTGAGTGCATTAACATGGAGAACCACCAAGCAGGAGCATGGCAGTCCACATTATTTGGTCATGAAGCAGAATAAAAGAAATACAACATGAGCTGGCAGTTCCCCATCTGCACAAATATATACATATGTTGAGTACAACAGAGTGCAAACTAAAAAGAGCCTAGTTCAAAAATAGTATACATTTTTCCAGCATACCGCGCTTTATAATTTCACAAACGGTATGCGCTTGAGGAGCCTTTTCTTTTGATTTCAACCCTGGCCACGACGCAATAAAAGAACCCGCGGACACAAAAAACACAACTTGCCCAATCATTGAACTTGCTAGAGCAGTTACGAATTTACTAACTTGAGATACTGATATTAAAGACTAACCTGAATGGTAGCACCACTGGCATACCAGAGGACCGAAATAAATCATATCGTATCGAAATAAATCATGCCCTGTTTACATGCAAGCATACATATCATATCGAGTCAGTTCTATACATGAGCCTCTGCTACTAATTTTTATGTAGACAGACACATCTATTTTTCTATTTTGATAACATGAGTAAAAGTTACATGCACAAATCAACTAGTAGAATGATTGATCAGTAGTTTTGCATTCAACTGAACCAGAAACGAAGTCAATCATCTAGAATTTACCACAAAGTCTGAATAAGAAATAAAGTATAAGAGAAAAACATACCATTCTTCTCCCAGTCGATTCCACATCTTGCAGTGTACCATATCAAAAGAGAGGTATGGGAATGGCAAGTGTCTTGATGCAAATGAACCAACGATGGCAGGTAGACCTCTCTCAAGAGTAAGTTGAACTTGACTACCTGAGGGCTCGTAGTTTGCGATGCACATTGTTAGAAGCTGTTTTGAGAAAAGATGCGCTCCTAAGCTGCCGAAGCCACACCCAATATCTAACACAGTTATGGACTTATCTATTATATATGCTAATATATACAGGTGTATGGATCTGTGATTAACCAGAAAATGGACTCATCTTTGGAGACCATCTCATAGCCTTCAATGGCAGCTAACCTTCTGAAAATTTAATGAGTATGGATCTGTGATTAACCAGAAAATGTTTTCTACATTTTAACCCTTACTAGATGAACCATCGGGATAATAGTAATAATAATTTAATGAGTATGGATTCTAAATGGGTTTGAACTATAGAAGGACTTAAAGTGTAATTGATATTTCTTGACAAAACTCTAACTTCAAAGGATTATTCTCTTCAAATCAAGTGAAGGCAAATGGGAGGGACTAAATTTGAACAACCCATAAAATTCCAGGACTTAACATGAACTTCAAATATGTGAAGGACCACTTCAGAATATTAAAGATTTAAGGAACCAATATTGAAGAGACCCATAATAAAAACAAATCCTGAATAGGAACGGAGGAACATTAATAAAGCATTTAAAATTAAGGACAGAAAAATCGACAAATTAAATCCAGATATGTTGCTGTATGAAAAAAAATGAAGCGAAACCAACAATTAATGAGATGGGTATTATTCACAAATTGAAAATTACCGATCTGGCTATGAAAGAGGATGGCGGAGGCACGAAACTTGGGAATTTCTAGGTTTTGATCGCTGATGATAGGGAACAGGTGTTCGAGGATGAAGAAATCGAGGAAGGCGAAGGGAGTGATCGAGTTCAGCTCCCCATTCAATGCAGCCCTCACCTGCAGATCCACTCTGTAACGGGCATCGGGGCCGAAATCTACGAACCCGTCCTCTCCCTGCATGCATTGAAGAATCAAGAACTCGACTGATCAAGAAATCAAGAAAACCGACGGAATGATGAGGACCAGGAGTAACCTCGAGATCGGAGAGAGAGAGGAGAGAGGGAGAGTGGGGCGTCGTGGGTTTGGTAGCAGCGGAAATTTTTGGGGTTAGGGTTTTTTTCCTCGGGGCGGGACCAATGAAATTTGGGGGAGGAGACGAATGAAATTTCGGGGCGGTCTGTTTTAATTTTTGGTCTCCCGCTTAAGTATTCAACGCGTCATAACAAAAAAATTTGCGATCTAAGTATTTATAGCGTTTAAATTTTTTCAAACGCTATCAAAAAATAAGGCACATACTATCTATAGCGCTTACAATATAAACGCTATCATTCAACGCTATAAAAAAACAGTTTTGTTGTAGTGAATATGCTATATGAAAGAATTAAATTGCTAAAAGCTATGCCAAAAAGAACAAAGAAATAGTTAACAAAACGCTTATATCAGCTAAAATATGTGAATTTAAGGGCACCCTTTATAAAATTGAAGGATGTCATAGGAATCTGAAGAAGCTCAGCTATATACGCATGAAGTTTGTCGATTAAAACTATAAAAGCATAAGAAAGCAACAAGAGCACAACCAATTTAAGATATGCTATTTTCACACATGTGCCATGTCAATTGTGAACACTTTTTTTTATAAACTGATCACTAGTCTAATCTTAGGATCACGCTATTTGAAAATATAGACAAGGACAACATGACAATAGTCAAATTAGACAACACCATCGTGACCATTATCAATAAGATTCACTAGTAAAAAAACACTCAACCTAGATGGAAAAACCTGTCTAGGTTGC